AAAGTCAAATCTCAAATAGAGCAAATGTACTTCAAATCCTAGTTTGTATTCCCTCTAAGATGTCTTGTCTTTACTTCAGTTTTGAATAGTTTTGATATTAGGGTTTTATGAGCATAATTTCAGGATGGCTGCTTTACTCATGAGTGAGAAGAGAGGCAAGAGTGTTGTGGTGATGTTGCAAGCAAAACAAAAGAGGAGTGATGGGTTTTTTGGCTCCCTGTAGCTCTGAAACAGACAGGTTTACACATCTACAAAGAGCACGTATAAAGCTGTAGAGACACAATCGTTCGTAGTGTAGTTTCTTAAAAGTAAGGAAAAGAAATGCCTTGTTGGGTGTCTCCACTCTGGAAGCTGGTGTTGACAGTCTAGTGCTACACTCTGGTATGGAAAGTTGTCAACATCAGAACTCCGGCATGGAGAGCTTTTTCTGACCAGCATGATGACAGGAAAGACCTTCTGCGCATATTGACCTTCCTGTTGCCACTCTTCTCCCCAGACAAACCCATGTCATTGTCCCAAGGATATACTGCACGTCTCAGATCCTGGGGGCTGATGACACAACTTGAAAGCTCAGCACAACCAGTCTGTGCAGTGCTTGTAAGACTAATGTGGGACCCTGCCCAGCTTTCAAGCACTGCATGGATCTCAGCTTCACACTTGCTTTTGGATGGGAGCACCTGTGCCAAGTGGGACTGGGGAGGACCAGGCACCATTCAGTTCATAAGCTTAAGTTCATAGGGTGGGATATTCAGTAGCACCTAAGTGAGCGAGGAGGACAAGTCCCATTAACTTTGTTCATACAGTGTGTTTCACATCTGTGCGCTGAAAATAACTGACCGTATCTTCTTATGCATATACCCTTTGTACAGTGGAAAGACTTCAGCCTATATATATGAACATATATGTATATATGAAACATAACCTTGCACTTGAGTCGATCCCCTTTATAGTTAGGGTACCAACAAAAGTGAGTCTCATTATATTTAATGCCATCTCACTTTCTCTGCTGCTTTTAAAATTCTTGTGTTCATGCAGCAGAAACAGATGGTAATTTCAATCCCTCCTCTCTGGTATCCCTCTGGAGTTGGCCTCCTGCCCAGAATGAAGCCGACTAATTCCAAAATGGGCAGCTTTGACAGTACAAAATACAAATAGGGCTTCAAATACTCAAGTAACATAAACAGTGTCCTATTCTTCCTCTGGCATCTCATCTTTTTAAAGTTCTAATTGATTCTAATCTTCTGGATCCTGAAATGACTCTCTAGTTTCTCTTCAGCGTTTCTCAAATGCGGCCAGCGTGGCTGCATGTGGCCACAAGAGGCTTTTCTTGTGGCCACAGCTGCCTGGGCTGTGATGAGGGGGAGCTTTCAGTCGTGGTTGGGCCCTGCCCCCCTCTGGAGACACAAAAGCTGGAGGAGCAAGCAGCCAGTGAGTTCCTCACCTTCCCGGGGTCGGTGGGGTCGGGGTTCAGCCCTTGAGTGGTGGGCGGCAGGCTTCAGCCTCCGTTCCCTGGCCGCGCGGTGGCGGGCTCTGGCCCCAGTCTCACCCCCTTCCTCCATCACCATGGCCCTCGCTGCCTCCCCCAGTGCCCCCATTGTCTCTGTACCCACCTCCCCATCCAGGGCTTACTCAGTCCCGGCAAGCCTGGGGACAAATTAAGTCTGCTGTGAAAAGTGATATTTGTATGTTTGTTAATATCACTTTTCACAACAGACGTACTTTCTAGCAAGTCTTAAAAAAAAGCAAAAGAAACAAAGAAGAAAAGACAAGAACATGCAAAGCACCTTATTTGTGTTTCTATTCTGTTTAGGTCCAGTAAAAAATAGACAACTGTACATTATTTTTAATATTGAGTCTGCAAAAAAAATCCTACATAAATAAATTACAATGATTTGGGCACGTATATGTGCATATTTATTTGTTTTTCCTGAAGTTAATTACGTATTTTAGGAAAAATTGTGAGAGCAACCCCCAGCAAGAGTTGGTGGCCGCACTCTGAGGCCGCCAAAAATTTTGTTGTGAGAACCCCTGCTCTATATGATGCTTGTAACATCTTAGATCCTCCAGTAGTACAACAGTAGTCTAATTGTTTCATGGAAGCTTCCAACTTTCCTGAGGTGTGTGCAGCCAGTCACCTGTTGGCTCTCAGATGTTTTCATTGCTGTTGCTCATAGTGCTTTATTGGTGTTCCAGGTGCTTTTGCAGACCAGATGTGCGCTGCTTAACCATTCCAGAGACTCTCATTGTCCGAGGCTGTAAAAGAGTGCAGAGCTGGCATTATCCCAGCCTTTGCCTCTGACGCAGCCCCAACACTAGTCTTCAAGCTTTCCCCAGAATCACTGATCTTTACTCCTGGGGGAATTCCGTGCCAAAAAATGAAAAATTCTGCTCACAGTATTTTAAAATTCTGTATATTTTTGTCAAAATAACACAATATGATCATGCCAGTTTCAATTATTTTGATAATTTATTTCAAAATACCTTGTCAGCAAGTATGTCTGTAACAATACAGACAACAACAAAGATTCAAGAAATGTTTTTTGACAGATTCCGTACTAGGCATATTGATACAGAACTTTGAGTAATAATTCATTTAAACTACAGTACAGAAAAAAGTCACAATAATTATTCAGCATTTCCGAAACACATGAAAGTTAAATTACAAATAGTTGGTAACCAATACCCTGCATTTCAGTTATAATCCTGGATTTTCATTAAAATTACATTATAAAAGACCAAACAGCAAAATAAAAGTAAAGTAGAATGTCATTTTAAATTGCTTATTTTAATTACTATCAAACAAAACTGTAGTTAAAATTCTTAGTTCTTCCTACAAAAGATGATGCACCCAAAGCGTGTCAGTGCACTTTTCACATTACAGACCTGCCGAAGGCGTGAACTGTAGGTAGGCAGACCCCTGTGCCCACATGGATTCTCATTGCAGGATCAAGGTATAAATTACACTAGTAGGAGAGATGGGGAGGAAGGTACAGAGCCGATTGTCAGTTCAGAGACTACATTAGCTTAGTGGGCTCTGTCCCCAGTCTCTTCCCAGGGGGAGGTGAAGGTGCTCCCAGCTTCTCTCAGGACAAAGATACCACAAGACCCACTTAGCTGCTTCTAGCTTCCCACTCTTCTTCAGCTCCCCCTCCTTCACTACCCTTGCCACAGGGACTGTTCCCCCTCCCTGAGGGCACAGCCTTATGCCCTCACCTCTCCTTTCCCCTGGAGATTGACTTCCCTTTCCCACCCCACTGGACCCTCAGGCTCCAACAACCTTCCCCCCCCTCCCCCTGCCACTGGGGGGCCCTGTGCTCCCTCTGTTCCCCCACCACCATCACTGGGGACCCTGTACTTCCCCCTCCCTGCCTGACTGACCCCTTCCTGGACTGCCCCACCCCGAAAGGCCCTAGCACAGCGGAGGAAATTGACCATGGGAGTCACAGCTATAGAAACCCTGCTCCTGGAGGAGGGGACCTGCCTGTTTGGCGCTGCAGGTAAGAGCTCTGTCTGGGGCTGGGGTGTGCACCACAAGCAGACCTCCAGTGTGAAAGTTGGGGGAGGGAGGTGCCCCCCTTGTTCTCCATAAATGGTGCCTCTGGCCAGGGCTCCCTGCTTTCCCCATATCCACCGAGCCAGTTATCTCATCATAGAAGGCAATCAGGTTGGTCAGGCATGACTTGCCCTTGGTGAATCTATGGTTCCTGGTCACTTTCCTCTTCTCCTTCAGGAGAAGCAGAGGTGAGGTTGGAGGAGCTGAACTGGGGGCTAGGGGGCTATTTGTGAGGTAGGGGAGCTGGGGAGGCAGAACTGGGGGTGGGGCAGAATTGGGGTGAGATGGGGGCTGGACTGGGGGAGAGTGAGTACAGAACTGATGGGGGCTGGAGAACTGATTTGGATACTAGAGGCACAGGATTGATTTGGAAGTTGGGGGGCAGGATTCATTGCTGGGTGGGGGATGGGTAGATGTGGGGGTGAGAACTCCTGCAGCAGGGGCCAAAATCCTTGTACCCAATATATTTGGGAACATGGGCAGCACTAACACTCTCTCTGGGGAGGGGCAGGAGCAGTTCACCAATTGTTAGACAGACTGAAAAAACAATATCATCTCTTTGGCCCCCAAAACATGTGGTTATTTACAATCTCCAGATGTGTTGGGTTCTAACTCATTTATTTTTTGATCTCTTGAGTTTGGCGATACTGTGAGTGGAACTTAATTATGTTGCATTTAAAAACAGCAAAGAAAGTTACACACTCTTGGGAAGACTATTTTGGGACTGAGAAGAAATGATTAATTATTAATTGCTCGTCATCCCAAAATAATATTCTCAAGTGCGTGTCACTTTCTCCACTGCGCATGCTTTTGTCCAGAGTTCTTAGATTTAGCTTTAATGTTACTTTCCACTGTTGACAATTCTGGCACAAAAGACAGATTGCGATCTAACGTTAGCCACCATAGTGGTTTTGATTTTAACCCTACTAGCCTTGTTCTGGATTGGCTCATGAATATTCCTGAGCTCATCTGAAGATAATATGGGGTGTGCCTCAAATAATTAAAGGTATCAAGGTGTGCTGCAGCAGAGAAAAGGTTGGGAACCACTGTCTGAGAGTGACGTGACTGTTGAGTTGCTGTATAGGGCTTCCTCCCGGAAACTTGTGCCAGAGAACTTACTGTACAAACATGGAATGATGACCTGTAGATACTAACCCTTTGCGTATCTTGGTGCCTTCCGTCCAAGGAGCTCATTGCACTTTCTCAAACACTGATTAATCTTGGGTCCCCATTGTGTGCTAGGTTTGCATTTGGGGTGAGCTAGGCTCAGAGAGGTGAAGTGACTTGTCTAAGGTTGCCCAGGAAGTCATTGGCAGCACTGGGCCTCGAACCCTGTTCTCCTGGCTCCTAGTCCTGGGCTGCAGCCAGAGAAACAGTGTTGTTAATGAGAGGTTCCATGGAGTGTGCTGTTCCAGTCCTTATGTCTGCAATCCATTCTTTCCTGCAGCTTCCTTGAAATGATGGAAGCCCGAAGTCGAGGACACGCGTCCCCAATGGCAACTAATGGACAGAGTCCTTCCTCTGGCTCCCAGTCACCCATCGTACCTCCCAGCTGCACGTCAGATAGTTCCAGTCCTGGTACCCCCCAGCCACCACCACCACCTCAGCAGCCGCCTGCCAACACAACGTCCCCTGAGCCTCCATCCTCCTTGTCACCAGTGCCTCCACTAGAGGCTCAGCTACCACACACATCGTCCCCAGCTACAGCCTCCCCAACAATGCCTGTTGTAGTCCCACTGCAAAAGCGCAGCATTATCTCCCGCCTCTTTGGAACTTCTCCGGCACCAGAGACGTCTCCTCCCCCGCCAGGTAGGTGCTGATGCAGAGAGAATCTGGATTTTGCTGTCTGGTAGTAGGTGCATGGGCATACTTACAATACTGCACTTCCCTGCTGTCCCTATTTCTTTGCTGTACCCCTCCTGATCCCTGTTGGAGGCAGCCCTCGTGTCTTAGCAGTGCAAGGCATATATTTGTTCAGTATAAATCCAAAGAGTAGTGCAGTTGCTTCGTTCTTTTCTTCCAGCTGCCTTGCTTGATTTGCCTTGTACCTCCAGCAGTGCTCATGCTAGCCCAGGGGTCTCAAACTCAAATGACCACGAGGGTCACATGAGGACTAGTACATTGGCCCGAGAGCTGCATTTACTGACATCTCCCCCCGCCGCCCTTGGCCCCGCCCCCACTCCACCCCTTCCATGAGGCCCTGCCTCTTCCCACCCCTTCCCTGCCCCCATTCCAACCCCTTCCCTGAAATCCCCATCCCAACTCCGCCCCCTCCCTGCCCCCAGGGGGTGCAGAAGGGATGTGGGGTGTGGCAGGGGCTCAGGGCAGGGAGTTGGGGTGTGGGGTGCAGGAGGGAACCAGTGCAGAGGCATCCAGGGCTGTTCATTACTTTCATCTACTGAGCTAGACCTTAATTTGCCCATCACATTCACTTTACTTACAAAGCTGACTGGAGCTGCCCCTGCCTAGCGATTATTAGCATGACGGGTATGAGTCACCCTTTGCTAAATAACCTCCTCCTTCAAACTGTCACTCTAAGGAGTTCAGAAAGCTATCAAGACACCCACAGAAAGGGGAGGTGCTCAAAATGCACACTCAAGTTCAGTTTTAATTTTCCACATCAGGGGTGGGCAAACTTTTTGGCCTGAGGGCCACATCGGGGTTGCAAAACTGTATGGAGGGCCGGGTAGGGAAGACTGTGCCTCCCCAGACAGCCTGGCCCCTGCCCCCATCCGCCCCCTGACTACCCCCCTCAGAACTCCCGACCCATCAAACCCCCCTGCTCCTTGTCCCCGGACCGCCCCCTTCCCAGAGTCCCCGCCCCCCTGGGACCCCACCCCCTATTCAACTCCCCCTGCTCCCTGTCCCCTGACTGCCCTGCCCCCTATCCACACCCCCGCCTCCTGACAGATCCCCCGGGACTCCCACGCCTATCCAACCCCCCGGTCTCCGTCCCCTGACTGCCCACCCCCCCGAACCTCCACCCCATCCAACTGCCCCCTGCTCCCTGTCCCCTAACTGCCCCTCGCGACCCCCTACTCCTGCCCCCTTACCATGCCGCTCAGAGTGGCAGAAGCTCACAGCCCCGCCGCCCGGGCGGAGCCAGCCACGTTGCTGTGGGGGGATGGGACAGCAGGGGAGAGGCTGGGGGCTAGCCTCCCCGGATGGGAGCTCAGGGGCTGGGCAGGACGGTCCCACGGGCCGTAGTTTGCCCACCTCTTCTCTACATGATGTCCTATCTCCTGGATCTATGATCAGTTGTGACAAAACCCACCAATTGCAGTTTTATAACTCTTCTTACCTGGGCCAGTTCCCTGGAAGCAGGACATAGGGAAAAGGGAGGAAAGTTGGAAACTCCTGATCTGCAGGTCTCTTTATGCTCTGTCCAAAGAAACAAAAAAGTGAAAATGCAAATGAACGTCAAGATGTGGCCAGTCTGTGTCACAATTTACACTGGAAACAAAATCACGTAGAACTGAATGCAGAGAGGCAATGGCTTCACTAAGAAAAATGGACACAGTCCAACCCCAGTGCGATAACCTTTCTTCTATCCATTGCTTTGTCAGAGTAACTTTCAGAAAGCCAGTGTGTTTTTATAAGATCTGCAAAAGAAAGTTTGAGCCACACATACAAATTCTGCAGCAGTAATTAAAAAAAAAAAAAAAAAAAAAGTTATTCCCTGATGTTGATGATGCTGTTACCCAAGCAAGGAAGTGAACAAAAAGCCATGTTAGGTGCTGCTCTGTTAGGAAAACTTGCACTAGAGCAATCAGGGAAAAGTCATTGTTCATCTTAAAGGATGCTGCAAACAAAAGTGCAAATAGTCACACTTTTCATGTTTTCCTATGTCTGTTTGAGAACTGCTTTTCTTTGTGATTCTTAAGAATCTGGGATGAAGATTAACCTAGGAGAAGAGTAAAGAATGCTCTACAAAAAAGACCTATTAAAGCAACTTTTATTTTATGTAACACCTAGGGGCATTGACCTGTTGGAGGCCTCAAAGCTAGAATAAGTGACAGTCCTTGCCCCGAAAGGTTTACAGTTTATATGACACGATCACATATGTGTGAAAAAGCCAGGTGAAAGACAAGGGAATAGTAACAGGAAGTTTTAACGTGGACTAGCTTTGTGCACAGTTCATAGGTGTAAAAAGCCAGTCCTGGCTGCAATCACAACCCCTGTTATTAGCTGGCAGCACTCTGTAGGTTATAGTGGCATAGGTGAGTTTTACGGAGGAAAAGATAAGTTGAGCTTGGTACATGCTAAACCAGCAGTAGGCAAAAGGCAACTCACGGCTACCTTCTTGCGAAGCAGTGGTTTGATCTAAATGGCCTGTTGCATTCCTTCTGCTACACAGCAAATGTCCAAGACTGTTGTAGCTGTTAGCTACATGTCTGCACACACAAGTGGCCCTCCACATGCTAGAGAAGCATTGGGTTTGAGATGCTTAGGGGAGTAAATTCTCTGCCACACCAGCTGGGCATCATTTATGCCAAACTGTTCTGTTGTGTGTTACCTGATCACTGTTCCATCTACAGATGCTGCTACTATTCCCCCCAGTGAAGTCCCTGCAAAAGTGCAGAGTGTGGAGGACTTTATTCCCGATGACAGCCTGGACCACAGCTTTCTGGAAGATACGATCTCTCAGAGAGACAAGGGGTTAACTAGGACTAAGGACCACAATGAGAGTGACAGGTAAGGAAGAAAGGAACTGGGGGTGGGGGAAGAGGCGCGGGATAGAAATCGCATTTGGAAGTGCAGTCTGGGTGACTGAGGGAACTTTGTGACTCCTCAGCATTTTCCTTTAGCTCTAGGCCCTTATGGGCTTAATACACACAGTGTGCTACACAGTGCAACCCCCCAAGGGTGTGTGTGTATCCCAGTAATGGTAGCCTCACCTCAGACACTTTCTCTTCCTTTCCTGAACACCCAAGAAATCAAACGGCTTGCGGCCTGCCCTGCCAGCAACACTATCCCTGTTAAATTGGAGAGGCTGCCAACTCGAGCACGTCTGCTAGCCAGAATTATAGTATCGCTCACAGGAAGAGAGGGTGGGTCTCTCTCCCATTAGCTAGGTCCCAAAGCCACTTAGAACCACTACCTTGAACTTCACACAGGAATTTACTGTCGTCCAGAGCAGATGATGGAAGCAGTGGCTGAGAGTGAATTATATAATTTCCAAATCCCCTCCCCCCACTTCTCCCTGATTGCTTTCTAGCCTCTCCTACTATTGTCCTCTGTTAGCTCTGGCTGCTGCTCTTCTGTAAATTGCCCTGGCAGCAGATGCTTGAAGAATCCCATTTACTGCATTAGCAGGATGAGTTTGTCATTGCCAAAGCATTGTTCTTCCTGATACCCTTTGAATGCCAGAAAGCTGTGGTGCCACCAGTTTAGCCTATTTTTTTTTTCTGGCTTTGATCGTGCCTCCAAAACTGAAAGGTTGCATCACTGTACGACTTCAACTGAGATTCTCGCTTGACAGTGTGTATTGCAAATAGGGCTGTTGATTGATCGCAGTTAACTCACGCAATTAACTCAAAAAAAGTAATCGTGATTAATCACAGCTTTAATCGCATTGTTAAACAATAGAATACCAATTGAAATGTATTAAATATTTTTGGATGGTTTTCTACATTTTCAAATATATTGATTTTAATAATAACATAGAATACAAAGTGTACAGTGCTCACTTTATATTATTTTTTATTATAAATGTTTGCACTGTAGAATGATAAAAGAAATAGTATTTTTCAATTCACCTCATGCAAGTGCTGTAGTGCATTCTCTTTATCCTGAAAGTGCAACTTACAGATGTCGATTTTTTTTTTTTTTTTTTTTGGTAACGTAACTGCACTCCAAAACAATGTAAAACTTTAGAGCCGACAAGTCCACTCAGTCCTACTTCTTGTTCAGCCAATTCCTCGGACAAACAAGTTTGTTTACATTTACAGGAGATAATGCTGCCCGCTTCTTATTTACAATGTCACCTGAAAGTGAGAACAGGCATTCACATGGCACTTCTGTAGCTGGCACTGCAAGGTACTTATGTGCCAGATATGCTAAACATTCGTATGCCCCTTCATGCTTCGGCCACCATTCCATGTCTACTCTAGAGACCTTACAGTGGCACAGCTGTACCGATACGGTTGCATTGCTGTAAAATCTCCCATGTAGCCACTTTATGCTGACACGAGAGAGCTCTCCCATCGACATAATTAAACCATCCGCAACAAGCAGTGGTAGCTATGTTGGCGGGAGAGCATCTCCCACTGACATAGCGCTGTCCACACCAGTGCTTCTGTTGGTGTAACTTACGTCGGTCAGGAGGGCGTTTTTTTCACATAAGTTCTTCTTCAAGTGCTTGCTCATGTCAATTCCAAGTAGGTGTGTGCGCGCCACGTGCACAGTCATCAGAAGGTTTTTCCCCTAGCGGTAACCATCGGGTCGGCCTGGGTGCACCCTGGAGACACGCCTTCGAGTCACTGCATATAGGTCCTTGCTGACCCACTGCCTCCTCAGTTCTATCTTACCGCCAGTGATGGTTGTTGGAGCTGAGTGTCTCTTGCTTCAGCAAGCGTTTCCTCTAGTGATTTCTGTATCTTTAACCTGTAAATATTTAAATAGTTAGTATTAGTTGTAGTTAGCTAGTTAGTGTTTAGGGGTTCCCCCAAACCCAGTTCGTTCCCCTCTTGGCGTTCGGGGCATGCCTCGATCCCAAGGGTGCCAAAGGGCAATCCCCATGACTCCTGCCTAAAGTGCCTGGGGAAGCACATCAAACATATCATTGCAGGATCTGCAAAGGGTTCTGCCCTAGAACTAAAAAGGGAAGGGACTTCAGGCTCAAGCAGCTCCTCATGGAGGCAGTTCTCCATCCCCAACTGGCTCTGGGCCAGCAGGACATGGCACCCAGCACCTCCGTGCGGAGCACGCCGGCCTCCGGTAGAGAAGCTGTGGCACTGAGGAAGGACTTTATGCCTAGAGACCCTCGGCACCATCATTTCCCGGCGCCGAAGTCCCGTGGCAGCAACTCGGCACTGCTCGCACTCACCGGTGCCAAACAAGAACAACAATAGAGGGCGCTCACCCACAGTGAGAGCAGCTGGGACTGACAGTGCTCGGCGTCACAGTCATCGGACTCAGAGGCAGAGTCCTATTACTCAAGACACAGCCGGTACCGGCTGGAACAGCGCTGCTGTAGACAGGAGACAGATTGTGCCTCCCCTTTGGTACCGGGGCTGGCACAGTGGCAGGGGCCCACGCCATGGGCATACCATCAGGCCCAGGGTACCTATTCCACGGGCTCACAGTCGGTAATTTCAGAAGAGCATGCCCCTCCTCCACCCCTGAACCGTCTCCCACCACGAGGCACCGAGACGGTTTCAGAGCCCAGCGCAGAGCCCCGTCTAGATACCAACAGCATGGCTGGCACCGGGCAATAAGGCACTGGGCAGGGACAATAGCTGAATAACAGACTATGGGCCAAATTCAGCGTTCAGTTACACCATGGATATTAATGGAGTTACACTGGATTTATGCCAGTGAAATTTCAGCAAGATTTCACTCCCTAGGTAAGAAAGCTGTTAAAATTTTCATCAGCTATAAGAAGTGTCAGTGCCCATAATACCATTTTGACACTGGTAAATAACATGAGACCACAAAACTGATGTGCTGGGGGAGGAAATTCACAGCAAAGGCCAAACTGCACACGACTCACCTGGATCTAAGTTTTGTTACAAGCCTCAAGCTCAGGCCAGCTTCGCTGAAAGGGTTTGTTGTGACCCTTTTGTGTGAACCTGGGGCTGCTTGCTGGGGTCTGTGAGGAAACTGTCCGTTCAAAACTCAGTGAAATGGGAACAGTAGGAACTCTGGCTGCAGCTGAGCTTTGCTTTGAGTTGCTAGAGAGAGTGGAGGGCTGGAATGCAAAATACAAACCCAGCCCCAAAGCCACAGCAGCGGGGAGAGGCACCTCTCCTGCGGCCCCAGCCCCGGAACTGCCGCGGTGGGGAGAGGCACCTCTCCTGTGTCCCCAGTCCTGGAGTTGCTGCGGCAGGTTGGGGCTGCGGGTGAGGCGCCCAGGGCCGCCCAGAGGCGGGGGGCAAGTGGGGCAATTTGCCCCAGGCCCCGGGCCTCGCAGGGCCCCCCACGAGAATATAGTATTCTATAGTATTGCAACTTTTTTTTATGGAAGGGGCCCCCGAAATTGCTTTGCCCCAGGCCCCCTGAATCCTCTGGGCGGCCCTGGAGGCGCCTCTCCCTGCCATAGCCCTGAGCACCTGCACAGCCCTTGCAAGGCTGCTGCGCGGCTTAGAGGGAGCTTAGCTCAGGACGCAAGGCCTCTGGTCCCAAACAGAACTCTGCATAGCTCTCTCAATACATCTAGGGGCGTCTTATCTTCCGGGATCCCAGAACGAGCTGGCGGACCATCTCAGCAGATCATTCCATGGCCACGAGTGGTCCATCTGCCCGGACATCATGAACAGCATCTTCCAACGATGGGGAGTTCCCCAGGTGGACCTGTTCATGACAAAAATGAACAGGAAATATCAGCAGTTTTGCTCCTTCCTGAATCACAGCCCGGGCTTGACCTCGGATGTGTTTCTCCTTCTTGGGAAGGACCGTCTGTTCTATGCGTTCCCACCCTTTCTGCTCGTTCAGAAGGCCCTGCTCAAGTTCAGAAGGTACAGGGCGTCCGTCATTCTAATAGCACCTGCCTGACCTCGCCAACACTGGTACACATCACTCTTGGAACTGTCAGCCACTCCAATCACCCAAGACCACAGTCACCTCCAGCACCTCAACCTCAAGTCTCTCCACCTCACAGCGTGGAAGCTTCATGACTAAACCACTTGGAGTTCGCATGCTCTGAACCTGTCAGAGAGGTCCTCCTTGGCAGCCAGAAGCCATCCACTAGAGCTACTTACTTAGCTAAGTGGAAGAGATTTTCGATCTGGATGACGCAAAGGGGCACGTCTCCGACTCAAGCATTAATACCCTTCATCTTAGACTATCTACTGCACTTGAAGCAGTCAGATGTGACGGTGTCATCTGTAAAACTTCACCTAGCAGCCATCTTGGCATTCTACCCAAGGGTGGATGGTCAATTTGGTTCTTCGCTAGCCCAATGGTAGGTCGTTTTCTCAAGGGCCTAGACAGGTTATACCCTACAGTCAGCCATCCAATACCAGCATGGGATCTTAACCTGGTGCTGTCCAGGTTAATGGGACCTCCCTTTGAGCCCTCTACCTCTCGTGGAAAGTAGCATTCTTGGTGGCAATAACTTCAGCCAGGAAGGGTGTCTGGGATGAAAGCCTTGACAGCTGAACCTCCATACCCAGTCTTCTATAAGGACAAGGTCCAGTCGCAGCCTCATCCAGCCTTCCTGCCAAAGGTGGTATCTCAGTTTCACACAGGTCAGGACATCTTCCTCCCAGCATTTTGCCCTAAGCCACATGCCAACAGCAGGGAACAAAGACTCCATTCCCTGGACGTGAGGCAGGCTCTGGCCTTCTATATTGAAAGGACAAAACCATTCTGGAAGTCTAACCAGCTATTCGCTATAGCAAACAGGATGAAGGGCCTCCCAATATCATCCCAAAGAATTTCGTTGTGGATGATGTCCTGCATTCAGACTTGTTATGACCTGGCGAAAGTGCCAGCCCTGACGCTAACAGCGCATTCTACAAGGGTGCAGGCCTCCTTGGCCACATTCCTGGCACAAGTCCCTATACAGGAGATTTGCAGGGCAGCGACCTGGTTGTCGATCCACACGTTCACTTCGCATTATGCCATCATCCAGCATGCCAGGGACGACGCAGTTTTGGGCAGAGCAGTGCTTCAGTCAGTGAACCCTGACCCGTGAGCTCTGACCCCTCCTGCAATGGTCTGCTTGGGAGTCACCTACTTGGGATTGACATGAGCAAGCACTAGAAGAAGCAAAAACGGTTACCTAGCTTCTCATAACTATTGTTCTTTGAGATGTGTTGCTCATATCCATTCCAAGACCCATCCACCGTCCCCTCGAATGGAGCCTCCAGCAAGAAGGAACTGCAGAGGCAGTGGATCGGCAGGGCCCTATATGCGGCGCCTTGAAGGCGCAACTCCAGGGGACGCTCAGGCCAACCTGATGGGTACCGCTAGGGGAAAAACCTTCCGGTGACTGTGCACACAGCGTGCATACACCTATTTGGAATGGACATGAGCAACACATCTCAAAGAACAGTTACAAGGAGGTAGGTAACCATTTTTTTACTGACAAAAGTGCTAGTGTAGACATAGCTTTAGATGCCCATCCTAGATACAGTGGAGTAGAATCTCTTGTAATTGTGCCCTTCATGAGACTTACTAGTGTGGTGACTTCATTCAGAAGAACACTCTTGCTTTGCCTTGACCTGTTTTCTTTCTGCGCTATAGCAGAGACATCAAACTGGCATTAGGATGCTACATGGTTTTTGCTATCAGGGATTCTCCAATGATTTCAGTGTTGACCATATCTTGATTATGCTTTGTGGACCCCCTTCCACCCACTTGTGATCCCATAATATCCCTTTGGCTCCTGCACCAATTTCTGACATGGAAAGTAATATTGAGCAATATATGTGTGTACTTTATCAGTCTTGAAATGTGGCCTAGCTGCTGGAAGTGAGACAGCACCATGGGATGTCCATGGGTGGTTCACAGACCACAGGCTGAGAACCTCTGAGCTATGTAATTCCTATTTAAAGTCAATTGGCATCACATGGCTAACAACCAGCACAAGTCTTTGAAGATTTATGGGGTTGTGTGTCCCAAGCTCCATTTTTGTTGTTGGTGGTTTTTTTAAGGCCTGTTTCTGTCCTGCAGTGTACAAGGAGAACTCTTGAAATATATGTTCCTTGAGCAGCTCATTGAGACAGTTATATTTCCTATTTCCTGGCCACAGGGCTTGCCTGGCTTACCCTTAGTCTGATGCACTATGCTAAGGTGTATTTGAAGGGTATTAAAGAAGCTTATCAGACTCAGAATAGACGTCCCCATTTCTTCTCTGTTCCTGGCCTTGCCGGAAGTAGCTAGGTTATGCCTATGGATAGGATACAGGATTAGAAAGGTGAGTTCTGTGTGAACCTGTGGATCTGTTTTCACCACCTCACTAGACTTTTATCTTTACTAACCATCTAGTTATCTTTCCATATCCTTAAATCTGCATAACTCTGAACTTGTCTGTTGTCCCCTCACTGCCCCCTCCCCTCCACACACATACATACATACACCTTCATGGACAGATGCTTCAGTAGTGTCACCCAGCTGTGCTGAGAATGCAAGTGAGGGGAATTGAGGACAGGGTTTCCTTCACACTCTGGGGCTCCCCTGGCGCGTGCTCACACCACCCCTCTCCCACAGCACAAGTTCCCTCCAGCTTCCTTGCTGAACTTGATTTTAGTTCCTTCCCCTCTGTTTCTCTAGCTCCTAAATGAAAGTGGCAGGAGGAGTGTGTTCACTCTCTGTAGGGGAAGGTACATTAGAGAACGAGCTACGGCTGAGCCGTTTCTTCGGAACTGAAAGCAGTACACTCAGGATTTGAAATGGAGTTTGCCCCTATACGCCACGAGCCTCAGTATGAGGGACCTCGCCTAACATGTTCTTTGGCGTAATGTCAGCAGGGTTTACCTTCAATCACTTACCTCTTTGGTGCTAGGTGCCCATTAGCTCAGGATTAATGCAGGTTTGGCAGGCTGTTGAGACTGGTGCAGTGTGCTTATTTTTGCATTCTCTGTGAGTTCCTTCCAACTGGAGAGACAGTGCCCACGGTAATACTAATTTGGCATTGTCAGACCTTGTTTGTATTGCAGCAGTGTTTTTCCTGGTGTCTTGCTGTTAAGCTGCAGCTAGGTGATTTGTGTAGAAGCTAGGGATGGAGGCAGTCAGTGTCTTTACATATACGCTGCATGTGGAGATGAGCCACTTCGTTCATCTGTGTGTACATACACATTCTTTCTATCCAGACTGAGGACATTTTAAAGAGCCGTGCCTAAGTCTAGTGTGTGTGCTGATTGGTGGGAGGATAATTGCTCTAACAGCAGGTAATAGCTAGAGTAGCATTAATTAAGCTACTGCTATATATTCAAGACAGTACTGTAATCTAGAGTGAGGTTTCTAGAGCATGTCACACCACCAATAGCATTTTAAAATAAAGCCACCCGCAGCATCATTTTGAGGACATTTCCATTTTCTTTTTGATACATTTCAAGGGGAAGTCCACTCACATTCTTTTTAATCCCCAGAAACCTCTTTTTAAATCCCCCTCCCCCCCAACCCCAGTGCCATGTTTTAGTTAGTTTTTATGGGGCTAGCCTGGGGTGAGGCTGTGCCCTGTTATATGGGAGATGAGGGTTTAGGAGCCAATTCCAGTCTCTCGTTCATGAGTCTGCTGAGGGCTGCAGTGGCAACCCACTCAGCCTGGGGGGATAGCATGTCCCTAATGCTCAGCAGCCAACACCTTTTTGGTTCATTGTGGCAGCAGCAGTGTTGAGCTCTAAAGGGAGTCCTGGGCAGGCTGCCTCAGCTGGAGCATTGGTGGCTGCAGTGTTTTGAAAGCAGAGGGTCTCTTTAGCACTCCAGAAGGGAAGCAGAGGAATCCCCAAGGGGATTGCATGTAAAACCTGAACGTGGCATGAAGATCTAGGCAAATGTTCAGTTGAAATCAACACTTACTGCAGTGTCAAATTTGAAATGAGCTCTCTCCATCACATACACTCGGTTGGTAAAGATACAAATTCCTTAGAACATCCACTTGGGAACGATAGCCTGTCAAAGATGGCTGGGCGAGTTGACATGGAATCAATTAAAGTCCTTTGAACATCCTGTTCCTTTAGCAAGCATGTGTGGCAGCTTCCACCATCCACAGCTGGTCAGCGTCATGCTGGGCATTGGCCGGAGGGAGTCAGAGTGATGATAGACACCTACTAGCAAACCAGGTCTGAAGCTTGAGGGGCGATTAGTCAGTCCCAGCTCCTTCCTTTAACCCTCTAAAGTGTTAACATCACATGCCATGAATGTCATTTTTTGTATTTGGAAGTAAATGAGATGAGTTTGTGTAATCCTTAACAGGTCATTAAAGGGAAGGTGAATGCTCTGTGTGTGTTGGACACCAACATAATACATCCATTTATCAAGAAGCAAATGATCTTCTCTGAATAAAAAGTACTTAATAGAGAAAGCAGGCAGGATAAGGAAAGGTAGTGCAAAGCCTCCTGAGTCTGAATTGTGAAAACAATCTATATTCCTGACGTGAGCAAATCTCAAGGAAAGCATTAATATGGCAGGTCCTTGGGAAATCAAGCCAAGAATTCCCAGTTTATAATTCTGCAGTGAAACTCCCGATCAAGATGTCTCAGAAGACATAATCCTGCTCAGTCGAGGGAGCCTTAAGGGCTCTTACACTCTAAAATGTGTCCTTAGGTTAGGTTAATTTGGGGAATGTTAAGCATTGTTATGGTGTCTGGGTAGCTGCCTACTTCAGGGAGCACTATAGAAAAGAAATAACACAGAGGAGCCAAGCGCTGAAGGTATCTTCCTGCCACTATGTCAATATGGGATATTTTTGAATCCCAGGACATGGGGATTAAGGCATGCAATTCCTGTTGGTTTTTAATTGACTAATATCGTGCACAGTGTACTGGAAATGTTCCCATAAAGTCCTCACTGAGGCAGAAAGATGCTCTGCAGCTGTGAGGCCTCGCCTCCGATCTTGGTTGTACTAACCACTACTTGATCCCCTCCTCCCCGGGGTTATAATCCATTGTGGAACTTGGACTGTGCCAGGCCCTTGGCTCTGGTGATCAGGCACTGCCTGAGCTCCATGGCAGGTCAGGGAGTGCACAGTCAAATAGGATACTGGTAACTTCAGCTGACCCGGATTAACCACAGATGGCCCTCATTAAGATAGGGAAGAGATCCTAGAACTCAAGTTGCATTAGTCTGGAACACCAGTGCTGCATTTGCATTCTAGAAGTAGGAGTGTTCGCATCTGAATGCGCCCTGAGGGGCTCTGTTTAACATTTCTGTATCTTGCAGTGATGGAGAGGCTCTCGGAGGGAATCCTATGGTAGCCGGTTTCCAAGATGATCTGGATCTAGATGACAAAGTGCCCAGCAAACCCTCATTGGCAGCAGAACTTGTACCAAGCAAAAATATCACTTTGTCAAGTGAGGAGGAGGCGGAAATGGAGGATGCTGTGGTCACCATCGTGGCTGATGAAGACATTGACATGGACTACGAGACACAATGGTATGAAGGAGTATAGTCTACTAGCTAAAGTATGGAACTGGGAGTTGGGAGATGTAGGTCTTTTTTCAGTCCTGCCACTATCTCGCTGTGACCTTAAGCAGCTCACTTAATCTCCCTGAGCCTGTTTTCCTAGCTGTAAAATGGGGTTATCTGTCCTCACCAACTTTGCAACTGTTCACAGACTACAGATTCTCTGATGGAAGGTGCTATGGAAGTGCATAGTAGTATTATTAATCCCCACCCAGATTTTTCAGTTTGGATGAAATTGTAACACACAAATGCAGCCAAAGGGCTAACTTGATTTGTCATATCACACTCCACAGAGTGTGAGCCCCTCTTGATGTGGGAGCGGCCCAGCCTTCTTCCCAAATTTGAACAAGAGGAGTTGGGTAAGCCGTTGAGCACTTTTTTATAGTGGGTGTGGGTGGGTCTCAAGCCTCACTGCGTAGGGCATGGAGGGTGCTTGTGATGCCCTCTCTGCGCACCAAAACAAGCAGCACTTTGGCATAGGGGGAATGGCATTGCTGCTCTTGCTGGAGAATGGAGCCTACAGAATATGGTGTAAATTACATGGAATGTGAGGTGTGCCGTCATAAATAATGCAACAGGGCTTGGCCCACAAGCAAACGCATTGATCTCAAGTATTTGTGTCCTCAGGGATGTCTGGGCTATCTTTCAGCATTTGGCTTACTGCCAGAAAGGTTTCCAGGGTCTGAGTGCTATGTATAAAACCTATAGAGCCTCATCACTGTGTAGGTGTAGATTAGAGAAATCCCCTAGAATAGGTTCACCTAACTGGTTAGTTACCATTAGTCACTTTGCTTCACTTGTGCAATGTGAGAGATGAGGAGAGTAGACATGGAAGAGTATAGGAAAGAGGTGGAGCCTCTTGGTTTTCCTTGAACACTGTCACTATCTGAGTGTCATAAGAAAGATAACGCATGTGTGTTAAGATACCTCCAATCTCCCAAGGGCTCACAGTTAGTCCTGGTGAAAGAGCATGCAGGAGAAGTGGTTTGGAATGAGCTCATAGGACCAAAGCCATGGGTTCCAACTTGCTAAGACTGTGACTGTATAAATCCCCTGCTTTTAATCCACGTTCCTCTCTCCTGGCCAGTGCCGCCTCTTTAGAGGATCTGAACAAGGAAATATTCGTCTCTATGAACGCAGTTTCTAACAAGATCAACTAGTTTTGCTTCCCCCTTTCTGTATGATCAGGGAGGCCTCAATTGTAATGGAGAAAAATGTTAGTCAGACATTAACTTTCCAGGGCCCCTGCTGGAGTCTGGCAGATTCCAACATCTTCCTTACTCCAACGGTCCAACCCTCTGAAACAGCCCATTGGGGCAGCTTAATTGTGTGGTGGGATCCCTCCTGATGGATCCAAGGCAGACGATTCCCTCTGTTTCCCGCACACCCGGCTCCTTGCGACTGAGTGGGCCCACAGCCCCTGCACAGCTGGGATGTGATGGGAGGGCTCCAGGCTCACCCTTTCATTGTTGTTAGAGTTGTAGCTGACAACTTGTTTCCTTTTTTAAAGGTCTTCCAAAAATTCAATGAAACCACAAAAGGAAGCAGCTTCCACCAAAGCACCCGACCAGAAGCCTCAAGGCAGCTTGCCTCCGCCTTCTGGATTTGAGAAACACAGCAGCACAAAGCTCCCCACAGATCTGCCAGCCACTGGAGCTGCTGCTCCTACAGATACAGCATCAGTCCAGGCACAAAGGACCACTGCCCAGAACAAGGGCTCAGCTTCCAAACTGAAGGGGAGCAAAGAAGAAATGCCTGAGGAGTCTGACAGTGATCAGGAGGGACCGATAGCCACCCAGATGCTCTCATTTTTGATGGATGACCCGGACTTTGAAAGCGAGGAGTCTGATAGCCAAAGGAAGAAAGTGGTAAATAACGTGCATGTGTCACTGCTTTCTAGCTCAGCCTAGAAGCAGCAATGGAGTGATGAGAGCTCTTGTCTGATCTTCCAGTATCCCAAGAGCAGCAGCTGCAAGATAAGAGTTAAACAATCTGAAGAGCATTATTGTTCAAACACAGGCCACTAAGCTTCTTCTCATTGTTGAAGCTGAATGGTAGCATGTCTCAGTTGCATTTTTAAGTATACAGATTAGGGCTGTCAAGCAAGTAAAAAAATTAATCGCGATTAGTCACACCGTTAAACAATAATAGAACACCATTTATTTAAATATTTTTGGATGTTTTCTATATTTTCAAATATTTTTATTTCAATTACAATACAGAATACAAAGTGTACAGTGCTCACTTTATATTTTCGATTACAAATAGTAGCAATGTAAAAAACAAAAGAAATAGAGTATATTTCAGTTCTTCATACAAGTACTGTAGTGCAGTCTCTTTATAATGAAAGTTGAACTTACAAATGTAGATTTGTGTACAAAAAATAACTGCATTCAAAAATAAAACAATATAAAACTTTAGAATCTACAAGTCCACTCAGTCCTACTTCAGCCAATCTCTCAGATAAACAAGTTTGGTTACAATTTGCAGGAGATAACGCTGCCCACATCTTGTTTACAATGTCACCTGAAAGTGAGAATAGGCATTTGCATGGCAGTGTTGTAGCAGGCATCGCAAGGTATTTACGTGCCAGATGCGCAAAAGATTCATATGTCCCTTCATGCTTCAACCACCATTCCAGAATATATGCGTCCATGCTGATGATGGGTTCTGCTCGATAACGATCCAAAGCAGAGCGGACCAACATGTTCATTTTCATCATCTGAGTCAGATGCCACCAGCAGAAGGTTGATTTTTCTTTTTTGGTGGTTTGGGTTCTGTAGTTTCTGTATTGGAGTGTTGCTCTTTTAAGACATCTGAAAGCATTCTCCACACCTTGTCCTTCTCAGATTTTGGAAGGCACTTTAGATTCTTAAACCTTGGGTTGAGTGCTGTAGCTATCTTTAGAAATCTCACATTGGTACCTTCTTTGCATTTTGTCAGATCTGCTGTGAAAGTGTTCTTAAAATGAACAACATGTGCTGGGTCATCATCCGAGACTGCTATAACATGAAGTATATGGTGGAATGCAGGTAAAACAGAACAGGAGACATACAATTCTCCCCCAAGGAGTTCAGTCACAAATTTAATTAATGCATTATTTTTTTAAGGAGCATCGTCAGCATGGAAGCATGTCCTCTGGAATGGTGGCCAAAGCATGAAGGGGCATATGAATGTTTAGCATATCTGGCACGTAAATACCTTGCAACGCTGGCTACAAAAGTGCCATGCAAATGCCTGTTCTCACTTTCAGGTGACATTGTAAATAAGAAGCAGTCAGCAGTATCTACTGTAAATGCAAACAAACTTGTTTGTCTTAGCAATTGGATGAACAAGAAGTAGGAATGCGTGGACTTGTAGACTCTAAAGTTTTACATTGCTTTGTTTTTGAATGCAGTTATGTAACAAAACAAAAAAATCTACATTTGTAAGTTACACTTTCACAATAGAGATTGCACTACAGTACTTGTATGAGGTGAATTGAAAAATACTATTTTTTATTTATCATTTTTACAGTGCAAATATTTGTAATAAAAAATTATAAAGTGAGCAGTGTACACTTTGTATTCTGTGTTTGTAATAGAAATCAATATATTTGAAAATGTAGAAAAACATCCAAAATATTTAATAAATTTAAATTTAAATCTATTGTTTAACAGTGCGATTAATCGCGATTAATTTTTTTAATTGCAGTTAATTTTTTGGGGTTAATCGTGAGCGTTAACTGTGATTAATTGACAGCCCTAATTTAGATTATTCTCAGTACTGCAGATAACCTCTGAGCTCAAGCAGCCGCTTGGAATGTATGAAGCCCAAATGCTGAGGATTTTTCATCTGGAGCTTACTGTACTAAAGCTTGGCGGGGAGAGAATGGGGAAAGGGGAGGGAGGGAGAGTGAATGTGTGTGCACAGTTCCCTGTCTTCAACCCAAGAATTGAAAAGCCATGGTGAAGTTGTGTTGAAACCTTCCTTTGCTTGGCAAAGCCTATTGAAGCCCCAAATGCCTTTATAGAGGGGCAGTCCAACATATAGCTGAAGTTGAGGTATCCATAGCATATCCACAACATTCACAAGATAGGCTGCAGCTGCTCAACTTTAACATAGATGCAACCTGCAAAAGGCTGCCTAGATCAGAGAGGACCTGGCTTCTCCTCCGGGCCTTCCTCCATATTAAAGATGAGGGAATTCAGTGAATTCTTTGAGATCCTACAGTTCGCTGTTGTGGCCTTTACCTGAGCAAATTCTGGATGTCCCTGCCTTAGATAGTCCACAGTAGAACCATTAGGCCCATCTGTACAGAAACAACTAGCCATGATTGACTGTGTAAAGAAGCCCCTATGCTTGCAGACAAAGTACTGTATACTGAGCCAGTAACTGTAGAGGGCTCCTGTAGAGTTGGCTTGATGTGTTCAGCTTGCGCCATGGTTGTGTGGGGAGAGTCACTGTCCTAGTCTGTCCAGACCTTGGCCGTGTATCATACTGGCCTCATTCAGTAACACTACGTTCTCTTAGCATGGCCAATGCTCGCCGTTCCAAGCATTTCACTGTAAAAACAGTGGCTTTCTGAGCAAGGTTATGACTCCTTGTACCTGATTAAACAGCAGGATTTGCTGGGAAGTGCTGCGTTGTAGCAGCGTCAGGGAGATATCCCTCCATAGAAAAACTCTTCTTCAGTGCACAATGTGTTGGCCAGGTTGAGCAGTGAAAGAAGCTGTGCCCCCTCCACTAACGGGGAGGGCTGCATACGGAGCCGGAAAGGCAGCTCAGCAAAAGAGGCAGATCACGTTTGGACTAGTGCTAAGAATATTGTAAAGGAACGAAGTTAATTCCTTAAGTGTCAAGTGGCAAACATGGTGAGATGTCTGTGCTCCAGGATCGGGGCACAGCTGTCTTCTTTTCCCCTCTTGCAGGGTGAGAGGAGCCTTCTGAGGCTTTACCTGGCCCCTGCAATTTCCCAGCTTTTAGCCTCTGTATCATGGGAGATGCAGCTCCCTCTTTCCTTGAACAGAGGAGTTTGCTCCAGCCCCATGAAATGATTCCTCTGGGTGCGTACTGCCTTTTGACCCCAGGATGGCATGGATTCCCCTCTGTGACTCTGCCAGGGCACAATATAGGTTTGAGTTCATTGTATTTGAAGGTTTTCCAGGATGGCAGTGCCCGTTAGTGCAGTTGGTAAGCCTGATGCATCTGGGGCTCATGTTTAACTCCACAGCGCCAAGAGGCTGGCCTTTTGAGTACAAATGTTAAGCACCACAGGGCATTTCACACCAGAGCTACAGTTCCAGTGCTGTCTAGGCACTTTCATCGTGGCATAAAATAGGTAGAACTGCCTTTTGGATAAAACTGTGACAGTTTCTTGAAAATAGCACCCCCCAGCTCCCCTTTAGAGAGCAGAAATGTATCCTAAGTAGAGGGGAGATGGGACTTTTGCTTGAGCGATCAGTTTAGACTCCTTGGTAGCTGAGATTGGGTCCATGATGTGTCTACTTTCATTCTCTAGGGTGAATTCCCAGTCCGAGAAGACCCCTCTGACATCTCCGATGAAGACACCTCGTTAGCAAAGCCTCCACAGCCCATGAAGCCTACAGTCCACTCCTTCAAACTGAAAAATGACTCTGATCTCTTTGGCTTGGGTTTGGAAGAAACAGGCCCCAAAGAGAGCAGTGATGAAGGTAAAAGTAGGTCATATGTCTGAGCCACTCCTGACTGTGATTGTCCTGCTGGGTTTTTCACTGCACTGAATAGGTCCAACGTTAAGCAAATCAATTTTGCATTAAGTAAAACACTCCCAACTTCACCTAACGCCCTGTGTGAGCATTTAATGAGCTCTGCCAAAGCGTAATTAACTTTTTCACTTTCTCCCATGCCTGCCCTGACTAACCTCAGCTGGGAGAGCATTTGCTGATGCCTTGGGAGAGACTACTGTGCTTTTTCCTGCCCTGCTAGAAGTAGGGGCGCTTCTTGAGAGCCTTTTCTTGAGATTTCCTGTCCAGCTTTGCATGCTTAAGAATCTGAGTCTATTATTGTGGGTCCTCCCCATCCCAAGAGCCAACCATAGCTTATGCAGAGAGGTTTCTATGGATGGATTGGCGTTACCACATGACTGCTTCCTATTCATCTGCCTGGGAAGTAACCTGGAATTATGGGACGTTAAAGACTCTTCATGATTGAGAGGTGAGGGGGAGCTGTAAGAGGTGTAGAAGGGATTTGACATTGATTAGTTGTTCTAAAATTATGACTAAGATGTCAAAGCCTATCCAGGCTCTATCAATAACTCACATGTAATTTTGCCTTGCTTTTAACTGTTTGATTTCCCATAACCTACGCTGCCCTGTTGTGTTGGGTCTGATAGGTTATTGATAATGATGGAAGAGGCCAGGTGTCAGCAACTTTCAGTGTTGAACTGAGGTGTAAGTGACTTGAGTGGGCAGAATTGCACTTCAGTGACTCCGTTCTCTCCTCTGAAACCCCACCCCAAATAGTGGGGTTAGGTAATTGCTTATCTGTCCCAAGGGTGTTCACATGGGATCCATTCTGTCAGCCCTTCTGCTCAATGAATCCATGATGCCAGAAGGGCAGAGAATGAAATGATTTGGACTGTGGTACCATCAATAGACAGGCATGTCTCTTCAGTCAGACCCAAACCGTGCAGTTTAGCTGCTTCCCCAGTGTCTAGTCCTTGAACTGGTGGATAAGAGTAAGTTAGCTGAAGCTTTGCACAGAGCAGATGGGAGGGATGTTGGCAAGTATGGCGGAAGATCTAGAAGGTGCAGCAGGATTGGTGTCAGTCCTTGTTGTTAGAGAGTAAGCTTGAAATGTATGGGTCCTCCTGGCGTTAGTTTTCCTAAGCAAAGAGTTTTTAGCAGAAGATTGTGATCTTCCCTTCCCTCCTTAATGCAGGTCTTGACACTATTATCCAGACCTTTGTGTCGGCCAGATTACCACAGATACACTTTACATGAACTGCCCTTGACAACCACTCAGGAGCTTCAGCTAATGCAGGATTGGCCTCCTTGGCAGTGATAGATGCAGAAGACTTGTTAATTTTTGAAGTCTGCGCTGGTTTCCAAGTCATTTCCAGGTGCAATTCAAGGTGTAGCTTTCGCTAACTAAAACCATAAGTGTTTTGGGTCCTGGCTAGCTTAGAGACTGCTTTACTACTTATCATAGAAATGTAGGGCTAGAAGAAATCTCAGTCATCAAGTACAGCCCCCTGCATTGAGGTGGGATCAGACCATCCCTGACAGGAGTTTGTTCAACCTTTTCTTAAAAACCTCCAATGATGGGATTCCATAGCCTCCCTTGGAAACTTGTTCCAGAGTTTAACTACTCTTATAGTCAGAAAGTTTTTCCTAATATCTAACCTAAATCTCCCTGGTTGTAGATTAAGCCCATTACTTCTTGTCCTACCTACCTTCAGTGGACATGGAGAACAAATAAATCACCATCCGCTTTATAACAGCCCTTAACATATTTGAAGATTATCAGGTCACCCCGAGTCGTCTTCTCAACACTAAAAGTGCCCATGTTTTTTAACCTTTCCTAATAGGTCAGTATCTGTTTTTTTTAGTTGCTCTCCTCTGGACTCTTTCCAATTTATCAACATCTTTCCTAAAGTGTGGCACCCAGAATGGGACACTGTACTACAGATAAGGCCGTGCCAGTGCCAAGTGCAGCTCAGTTACCTCCTGTGTCTTACATACAATACTGCTGTTAATACACTCCAGAATATTAGCCTTTTTCACAACTGCATCACATTGTTGACTCATTCAATTTGCTATCCATTATAACTCCCAGTTCCTTTTCAGCAGTATTACTGCCTAGCCAGTAGGGATGTAAAATAGTATTAGTCTTACCGGTTAACCCAGCTTAACCATTAACCCTGAGGCCTGAGTGAGTCAGCACAGCCCCAGCTGCACCGGCCAGCCGACCCCAGCCCCGCGGGCCACGGCAGCCGGCCAGCCAACTCACCCCAGTCGCAGTCCTGGCCGGAGCCATGGGTCGCACCAGCCGACCCCGGCCCACAGCCCCTATTGGCCAGAGCCCCAGGCCGTGCCGGCGGGTCGACCCCAGGAGCAGCCCCAGGCCTTGTGCCCGCTGACGGGAGCAGCCCCAGCCCCTCTCCCTTTAATTGGTTAACGGGTCAACTTTTTAAACAATACTTATCACCAAACAAGATACAATTTTGAAGCGTTGGTCAAGGGTCTGACCGACCTCCCGTGATGACCGGCGCCACAAGAACAAGCAATCCAAATCGTTGGTCATCGGCTTCGACCATTTTACCATACGTGTCCACTGTCACCATGGACCACTGGGTTTTGGAGATCATCCGAAGGAGTTATAACATCCACTTTACCACCATCCCACCTACCCATCCCCCTTCCCTGTGCTCCTCCTTCAGGGATCCTTCTCACAAGCACCTGTTGAGACAAAAAGTATATCACCTTCTACAGTTAGGGGCCGTGGAACAAGTTCCAACACAACACAGAGGGAAGGGATTTTATTCCCATTATTTCCTGACTCAAAAGGAAAAACTCAACAAATTTGTGCGTACCCACAGATTCAAAATGGTCACACTGAATTCTACCATCCCTGCGCTGGAAGAGGGGGACTGGTTCTCAGCCCTTAATCAGCAAGGTGTTTATTTTCACATTACCATCTATCCTGCTCACAGACGATTCCTACGATTCACAGTGGGATAAGATGACTTCCAATACAGAGTACTACCATTCGGACTGTCGAGGGCCCCACGAGTCTTTACTAAAACCCTAGTGATGGTAGCTACTCACTTGCGCAGCTGGGGAATACCGATATTCCCATACTTAGATGATTGCCTATTCAAAGGCTCTACCCAGACTGAAACATTATACATCGCTCGACAGACCATCTCTTTTTCACTCCCTAGGGCCACAAATCAACAAAAAGAAATCTACCCTAACTCCAGTACAACAATTGGACTTCATAGGAGCGCACCTGGACTCAGTGGAGGCCAAAGTATCGCTGCCGATGCTTTGATTCACAGCAATGACCTCCTTCATATCGGTGGCCTCAGATAGCCCGTGGATGTTTGCACGCCCCTGCCTACAATTCCTGGGATATATGGCGGCCACCGTTTCATTGTAAAACACGCCAGACTACACCTGCGCTGCCTTCAAGGATGGCTGAACTTGGTAGATATTCCACAAAAGCACAGCCTACACAAAAGACTCCACATTCACTACGAGGGTGGACAAACCCAATAAAAGTTTGCTCAGGCATCCCGTTTCAACAGGATCTGCCAACCATGCAAATCACAACAGATGTCTCACTGATTGGATGGGAAGCTCACCTAAACCAACATCCAATCCAAGGCAAGTAGTCCCCCGTGGAAACACACTTACACATCAACCTGCTTGAATTACCTGCAGTCTACAACATGTGCCTACATTTCGTCCCTATTATACGAGGCAAAACGATACGGGTCTTGACGGACCATTGGCCATTACCTTTGAAAACTCATGGCGATCAGGGGAGGTCCCGGATGACTGGAAAAAGGCTAATGTTAGTGCCCATCTTTAAAAAAGGGAAGAAGGAGGTACCGGGGCCTCAGTCCCTGGAAAAATCATGGAGCAGGTCCTCAAGGAATCCATTCTGAAGCACTTAGAGGAGAAGAAAGTGATCAGGAACAGTCAGCATGGATTCACCAAGGGCAAGTCATGCCTGACTAACCTAATTGCCTTCTATGATGAGATAACTGGCTCTGTGGATGAGGGGAAAGCAGTGGACATGTTATTCCTTGACTTTAGCAAAGCTTTTGATACGGTCTCCCACAGTATTCTTGCCAGCAAGTTAAAGAAGTATGGGCTGGATGAATGGACTATAAGGTGGATAGAAAGCTGGCCAATCGTCGGGCTCAAGGGGTAGTGATCAATGGCTCCATGTCTAGTTGGCAGCCGGTATCAAGCAGAGTGCCCCAAGGGTCGGTCCTGGGGCTGGTTTTGTTCAACCTTCATTAATGATCTGGAGGATGGCATGTATTGCACCCTCAGCAAGTTTGCAGATGACACTAAACTGGGAGAAGTGGTAGATAGGATACAGAGGGACCTAGACAAATTAGAGGATTGGGCCAAAAGAAATCTGATGAGATTCAACAAGGATAAGTGCAGAGTCCTGTGCTTAGGACGGAAGAATCCCATGCACTGCTACAGACTAGGGACCGAATGGCTAGGTAGCAGTTCTGCAGAAAAGGACCTAGGGGTTACAGTGGACGAGAAACTGGATATGAGTCAACAGTGTGCCCTTGTTGCCATGAAGGCTAACGGCATTTTGGGCTGTATAAGTAGGGGCATTGCCAGCAGATCGAGGGACATGATCATTCCCCTTTATTCGACATTGGTGAGGCCTCATCTGGATTGGAAAGAGTCCAGCGGAGGGCAACAGAAATTATTAGGGGTCTGGAGCACATGACTTATGAGGAGAAGCTGAGGGACCTGGGCTTGTTTAGTCGGCAGAAGAGAAGAATGAGGGGGGATTTGATAGCTGCTTTCAACTACCTGAAAGGGGGTTCCAAAGAGGATGAATCTAGACTGTTCTCAGTGGTAGCATATGACAGAACAAGGAGTAAGGTCTCAAGTTGCAGTGGGGGAGGTTTAGGTTGGATATTAGGAAAAACTTTTTCACTAGGAGGGTGGTGAAGCACTGGAATGGGTTCCCTAGGGAGGTGATGGAATCTCCTTCCTTAGACGTTTTTACAGTTAGGCTTGACAAAGCGCTGGCTGGGATGATTTACCTACATTCCATTAAAAACCACACACCAACGCTCAAGAGGTGGTCCTGAACAAATTGGATGTGCACCGTGCCTTGGTGTTTTATCTGGACAGGACGAAGCCCTTTTCAAAATCACCTCGACTGTTTACGTCAACCACAGAACAATTGAAGGGCTCTGCCATATCGACGCAAAGATTATCTAAATGGATATCCAGCTGTATCATATGTGCTATTCACTACACACTGAAGCCCCTCCAGGCATCGGAACCCATGCAACAAGAGCTTTGTGCAGGAATGCTATGGAGGTGGATAATGTTTCCATTCTAGACATCCGCACAGCGGCCACCTGGGCTTCTGAACACACATTCATGAACCACTATGCAGTTACTCTCGGTTCAAGATCAGACACACCACTAGGCTTCACTGTACTAGCCTCAGCATCGAACTCCACTCCAAAGTCTCTTCCATCCTCATGAGGGCACTGCCCTACATTCACCTGAAGTGGAGCACCCACAGGGACATCACTTGCAGAAGAAGAGAAGGTTACTCATTTTGTGCAGTAACTGAGGTTCTTCAAGATGTGTGTCCCTGTGGGTGCTCCACTCCCCACCCTCCTCCCCTCTACTTTGGAGTTCGCAATAAGGACTCTATGGTAAAGATGGAACTGAGGAGGTCGGGACGCGGAAGCACTAGATGAAGTGCCAACGGCACTGCAAGACAGCTACCGCACACGCGCATCCCAACCAGGCACTGCTACCGAAAATCTCCGATCAGCAGCGCCGGGACCCACCGACACCTGAAGAGGAGCACCCACCAAGGGGCACATCTCGAAGAACCTCAGTTACTGCACAAGGTGAGTAACCTTCTCTTGTTTTGAAATCCATTGTCCTTTATTATTCTGCTGCTCTCACTCCTTCCTTTCCTTAGACTTGTGAAATCATCATTTCGTGATCATTTTCACCCAAAACACAAAAAGCCTTCCGCTTTCAGATTCACAAGCAATTCCTTCCTGTTTGTCAGAAGAAAACCCCATGTTTACTTCCTCCACTCTCTGAAACAAAAAAACTGTTCCCAACACATTTCAATAACTTACTTCATATTTTACCTATTGCTGTATTACTTTTCCAACAGATGTGCGAGGTAGTTAAAGTCCGTCATTACTACCAGGTCTTGTGTTTTGCATATTTCCAATATTTGTTCTATAAATGCCTCTTCCTGAGTTGGTGGTCTATAACAATCCTTGCCATGACATCAACCCTATTTTTTCACCCTTTTATCTTTACCCTGAGACTTTGAACTGATCTGCCTATCACCACCTTCTGGACCTCAGAACAAGTGTGTGTATTCTTGATTCACCTCTTCCCTTTTTATCCTGCCTGTCTTTCCTGAACAAGTGTACTCCTCTATACCAATATTCCAGTCACGAGCTTTATCCCACCAAGTCTCTATGGTGCTAAATTATGACTTAATTATGTACTAATACTTGCAGTTCTTCCTGTGTATTCACCATACTCCTTGCACTTGTGTATAGACATCCAAGATGTTGAGTGTATTCTCCCACTAATTTCCTCTTGTTGCTTCTATGACCCTATTGTAATTTTTAATGTCTCTTTCCCTGCGCCCCCGCCCCCCCAGAGATGCTCTTTCCCTTCTTCGTCAGATAGACCCCATGTCTTCCCAGAATACCTCCTTCATGGAACAGCATCCCATAATCAAGGAGGTTGAAGCTTTACTGTCAACACCATCTGTGCAGCCATATATCCATCTCCAGGATGGACATGTCCTTACCCTCAATTGGGAGGATGGATGAGAATACAACCTGTGCCCCCTCTCCCCCAACCGCTTCACCCTTGCTCCAAGAGACCTGTAGTCACTGCTGATCTGCTCAGGGTCACACCTGGCAGTTTCATTAGTACCCAGAGGGATGGATGCACCTCAGCAACCTTTCCATAACACCTCGGGCAACATGCATGTGGGGACATCGTCAGGTTGACAGGTGGATGCCTTTATCCCCCTCAGAAGGAAGTCTCTGATCACCAGCACCCTACACATCCTCCTCTTAGGTACAGTGGCCATGAACCTCCCAGTCTTGGGAGCAGGTGGGTCCTCTTCAGCCATTGGGGTCTGCTCCTCACATCCTATTGCAAGTACAGTATACTAGTTCTTGCTCTTAATGGATGGGAGGGGTGGAACACAACCTACTGCCCAAGGGGGCCAGCAGACAGTCCTCCTTCCTCCTTTGGTGCCACTGTTGTCGTTGGTAGTTGGCGAGCATCCTCTATCCTAGATGTTTCCATGAGTATCCTGTCGATGAAGTCCTGGTGCTCCTGGATGCTATGCAGATGAGCCGCTACCTCCTTCAGGTCTCTTCCCTGCTTCCTGATAGACTTCACCGCCAGACACGCCTAACACCAGCTGGTTCCTGCTGCCTGGCTTTCGTCAGCAGGGGCTTGCAGGCTGCATTCCAGGCAAGTCAAGACCAGGGCCTGTGTGGAAGTCTCCAGGTTCAGGATACCAGTCTGGTGGGAGAGGACCCCAAGGGCAGGCAGAGGAAGAGCTAGCAGTGGTGTTGGCAATGCACAGTTTTCCTCCCATTGTGGGTTCTGCCTTGTAGAGTATTTGTAAGTTAAGGAAAGTGTGGGGAGAGAATCACACAGCCCTACTGTGACTCTCCTCAGGGAGCCCGGAAACCTAAGCCACTGTTACCTCTCTGCCTGAGCGAGAGAGAGCTGTGCTGGAGCTTGAACTGTGTGTCTGCTCCCTGCCACACCACTGTCTGCCTCACCAGCAAATTCTTTGAGATCCTGCCAACCTAACCTTTGCGTTGCAGCTAACATTCCCCAGAGACGTCTCCCTGCAGTGTCCAGTCTGTTACTGGACACTTCCAGAAATTACCGAGTCTGCTGCTTGTAAAGAGGCTAGCTGAGGACCCACACCTCACTTTAATACAGAGACTGAGATGGTTTATAGTAAAACTCAGAATAAGTTTAATAATAAAGAACAGAGATTGAAGTGATACTAAGCAAGGGAAGAGACAAGTCTGGATACAAACCAAACAAAAATAACCCACTTTCTAGTGTCTAAGACGTAACTTTAGCAAGCTACAATCTTTGCCTAAGCAGCTTTCTCACTTACATCACACCACCAGCATCTCCAGCCCCTGAGTGTTCACAGAACTAGAGGGTGCTGGCCACTTTGTCCTCCAAGTGATGGATAACAAAATGGCATTTTGCCTTTCCTTCTATTTCCCAAAACGCATTGATTTGTCCCCAGGAGTTGGGATGGCCTCTGCTGTTTTTCTCATCTTACTGACTTTCCATCCCCCTGTTGACTTGTATGTAAATGGGGTTTCCATTGTTTTGGTTCCACAATGCTTAATTTACATTAGAGACCGGGAGACAGCTGCCTTCCCACCTGTCAGGAAGAGAAGCTGTTTCTCCCTTGGTTTGGTCGCAGACTTTAAAGCATATTATCCATAATGCCTCATATTGTGTTAATATTGACATTTCACAGTGATATTGATCAGTGTGTCATCAGCTTTCATAAGATCTTACTCAATACACTTTGTATACAGCAGGGGTGGCCAAACTGGCTCTTACAGTTAAAGTGCGGCTTGTGGAGGCCCCCCCCCCCCATTCTCCACCTATCAGACTTGGTGGTGGGAGCTTGGGACCGCTACCTTTCAGCAAGGTGGTGGGATAGGAGCTTCTGCGTAGTGGGGAGGGAGGACTCGAGGCTTTAGCCCCACAGGGCGCTCCTGCCGGGGCTTGGGGCTTCAGCAGGAGCAGGGCTGAAACCCCGAGGCCTGGCAGGCACCTCCCGAGGTGTCCCCTGGCTCTCAAACTTCTGAAGATTGTTGTATGCTGCTCGGCAGGTCAGTAAGTTTGGCCACCCTGATATACAGTATTATTTACTATAAATCAGTTGATTCAGTTGCTTATTCTTTGGGGGTTCAAACCCCCTGTTTTCCCACTGGGTGTCTAGACTCCGTGTGTCACACCTGCCTTCCTTCACTGGTGAACTCAGCTGGCTAGCTGCCTTCATCTTCTTGTGCCCTATTGTGGTAGTCAAGATCAGCTGGGATGCTTCTGTCAACAGACCCTAGAGTTGAACTGAAGGGCTGGAAGCAGTATGTTCTCAGCAGCTGCCCTTTTACTAGGGAATTTAACTGTGAGTTTCTGACCTGTAGGCCAGGTGGGTAGGGTTTATCTGTTTGCTCAGGCTTTTCCAGGAGGAATGTAGTGATCGGATCTGTTGAGGTTCCATTTAGGTGACCCCAGTCAACAAGTACTTGTCAATGATATTTGAATTAGTAATGGACATACCTTTATAATTGTCAAGTAAAGAACAGCCCCACATTTGTAGCTAACATCATGCTAAAGCATGATTCCTGGGCAAGAAGCTAGTTTCTCAGTGCCATGCAGTTTGGTGTTGTGAATCAGGATCTCCCCTCCATTCAGCTCTAATGCACCTTAGCAGCAGGAGAGCAGGGCTTTTTTGTGGAAAATGCATCATTAGCCATTTAATTTTGCTAGAGAAAACAACTTTTTGGGTTTTTTGTTTGAACAGATAAAGAGAAACATCCTTCCAAGGAGAAAAAGAAGAAAAAAAAGAAGAGCAAAGAGGTGAGGTACAGCTTCATTCCCCAGTGTAGACTCCATCAGCATATGTTCTCTGCCAGTCAGCCAGAGGGGGGCTGGCATGCTACAGGGAATGGGGGCTGGCTCTGTTAGTGACTGGTTTCTCTTCCATATTCCAACCCTGGAGAGGCAAGGAGATCTGCAGTCCCCAAGTCTCCAGGCTATTAGCCACTTTCCAATAACAAGGAAACTTGTAAAACTTAAGTTTAAAAGTTAAAATCAGAGATGTAATGTAGTGCAGGATTTGATCGTACAGAGCATGCATATAGAACAGACAGCATATGTGCTATCTAGCAACACAATTCTCTCTCAATTCAGCAGTGTCCAAAAAAGAATAAATCTTAAGAGCTAACCAGAGATCATCAGCAGATTTGTTCTTCAGTGAGGTGCATCAGTTCTAAACTTTCCCAGCTCTCTGTAGCTCAAAAGCTTCTCTCTCTCACCAATGGAAGTTGGTCTAATAAAAGATATTACCACACCCACTTTCTCTCGCTAAACTTGTTGGCATTCTGACTAGCCATCCTTATCTGACAGGACGGCTAGTGTAAACCAAACATTGCTTCACGTGCTCCCAGTCTATAATAGCAGATGGTTCCGACATCACTAACCCATCCCTCCTAGATATTGGACTTTATTCCTTCCATATAAAATTCCCACAATAGGTAGGCTTCCTCCCTAGGGTCCCACTTTCGGGATGATGCATGATGGGTTACTGGTGCCATTAGAAAAAAGCTTTCTTAATTGCCTTCTCATCTTGCAGGAAGAAGAGAAGTCTATGAAGAAGAAAAGCAAACACAAGAAGTGCAAGGAGAAGGAGGAGAGCAAAGATGAGAAGAAGAAAAAGAAAAAAAGAAGCAAGGAGAAAAACAGTGAGATAGATGAACTGGAGGCCTTTCTGGGAGGAGGAGCCAGCGCCAGCAAGCAGCAAGGGGGCGGGGACTACGAGGAGCTGTAGGCCTGCAATGTGTACAATCAGCGGACTCCATTGGTGGCTGCCACCAACTCTCCATACGAGCCACACCAGGATGGGTACAGATGTGTAAAGCTTTGGCTGTCTGCCATAAGTACTATCGAAACAGAGATGGTGGAACAAAAAAGCTTTATATCTGTGTGTGCTGTTCTGGTGCAGTCATTGTGTGGAAGGAAAACACAGCCGTGGTATACTTGAGGAAGGTTTAAAGGTTAAAGGTCACGGTATGGTATTGTGGCAATGAGTGATCATTTCCCCCTACCAATGTCTAGCCCTCTTTCCTTTTTCCAGAGAGTTCCAATCTGGTAGTTGGCATGGTGTGGGGAGGGAAAGGTGAGTGGACCTGCTCCCACCCCCACCATATTCCACTGCTGCACCCCTGAAATTCCTGTTTTAATAAATAAATGAATGCAGCAAAACATGCCATCTGAATGCATCGTGCTGTCACCTTGTGAATAATCAAGTCTTTAACTTTTTATCCTTCCTATTTTTTTAATGAGAAAGGTGTTATTGGCCTTTGCCCCATAAGGCAATCGACAAGCTTTAAATTAGCAAAATATTGTCTTGTACAGCTCTTAACGAAGCAGCTGCAGGGCCTGAAATAAGAGTGAGTATAATTTGGGGATATTTCTGCACAGCAGCATAATTAACTCTCAGGGGTGCTGCTTTTGGAATCCATGTAGCCTCATTGATTCCCATGGCCCCATTGTCTCTGGCACTACATGTAAGCCGCTGTGCAGTTGGGAAGACAATGCAAAGTTATCTTTTAGAAAAGAAACTAAATTGACACTTTCCCTTAAACACCCCTTGACACCCCGGCCTTGAATTTGAATACACTATCAATTCAGCCCTACAGCACCTCTCAGGGACATGACTGCCGAATGGAAATGGAGATAACAGAATTTCAAGAGAGTTTACAGAAATGCGTTAGCATGGCAAGGCATTCGCTTCTCAGGGCATGCTGTAAAACAAAGGCTGCCTCTGCACCGAATGGGGAAACCACTTGGACAGGGGAGAGTGTCCCTCAACTTCTGCAGACACTGAAAGCCAGGTTTACTAGGCCACCTAGCAGTTAGTGCAGGGCACTTCCTTGCCCAGAGTAGAGTGCACAACCTCCTCTTGTCACATGAGCTTTGAAAGCCTTTTAATTTTGGCTCTGATATCAAAGAACCATGGATCAGTGTATGCTCAGCAGCATAGGTCATGGATGGTTATTGACACCTTTGCCCTGCCATTCATGCCTTCCACTGTCTTGGTGAGTGCCCCCCCTCCATCTGAGTGCCCCCCTCCCCCCCCCCATCTTTAAAGGGTCTGTTAATATTCAAAAACAACGAGGAGTCTGGTGGCACCTTAAAGACTAACAGATCTATTGGGCATAAGCTTTCGTGGGTAAAAATCCCACTTGTTCAGTTGCATTTGAAGAAGTGGGTTTTTTACCTACGAAAGCTTATGCCCAAATAAATCTGTTAGTCTTTAAGGTGCCACTGGACTCCTCGTTGTTTTTGTGGATGCAGACTAACACCGCTACCCCTCTGATACTTGTTAATACTCAGTACCCTATTGTGTTGTATTCCCTCTGAGGCTCAGCCCTGGGAAGCCCATTCACATTTTTGTGCATTTATTAAATAGCCCTATTGCGTGTGGGTTGTTTTTATCTTTTTAGTTGTGAAAGGTGGACTGTCTGACGGAAACTAGATGAAATTCAAACTCGGGTTTCCTTCCACTTCCCCAATCAGTGGGATACTGCTTCGGATCCATCCTCCACTTCAAAGTTGCCTTGAACTATAGACCGTTGCTCCATTTTTTTCCTGAGAAATGCACTTGTAACTTTCTATATACAACAAACTGGGGTCTTGCTGCATGAGCGGAGTATCATTTCAGGTACGTTTTCCATTAGCAGTTGCCTGGTCAAAGCGTTTTGTTTCATGTGACACTTTGGAGAATTTGCATGGGACATTTCAAACTTCACACACTAGGGAGGAATACCAGATTGCAAACCAGTTTGCAGCCTCTGCTCCAAAAAGGAAACAAGACATTTGTGCTACAGCTGGCCAAGTGTTTTTGAAAGTGCTTCTGCTCTGTAAAGATTTTGGATCATGTTCCATTTTGCATTGGAAAACCTAGTGCACTCCATTCTGACTATAAAGCTCTCTATTGTACACAACTGCCTCGGCACCTTTCTTATGTACACAGTTTAACCATTGCAACACTTGCTTGAACTCAGGAGACTGCATGACCATCCAGGACAGTTGCACAAGAGGCGAGTGCTCTCAAACCTTCCTGATGACTTAGCAGCTGTTTCCTTAAAGGGACCCTGTCAGGGACAAACCACAGCTTAAAAAAAAAAATTCCTTGTGTGTTTAGTAAACACCGGAAGAAGATTGTTCAAGTTGAAAACTTTAAATAATCTGAATTCTTCTCCCTTCTATGGTTTGTTCAAGTATTACATTTGTGTCACCTGGGCCAATAACAATAGAGTCATTGGTTTTGTTCCTGTTTATAGAATCATAGAATATCAGGGTTGGAAGGGACCTCAGGAGGTCATCTAGTCCAACCCCCTGCTCAAAGCAGGACCAATTCCCAACTAAATCATCCCAGCCAGGGCTTTGTCAAGCCGGGCCTTAAAAACTTCCAAGGAAGGAGACTCCACCACCTCCCTAGGTAACGCATTCCAGTGCTTCACCACCCTCCTAGTGAAATAGTGTTTCCTAATATCCAACCTAGACCCTCCCCCACTGCAACTTGAGACCATTGCTCCTTGTTCTGTCATCTGTCACCACTGAGAACAGTTACTTCCTAGATGGTTTCACTTTCCAGCTAGCACAAGGCTGCACCATCTCTGTAAATCTCATCAAAACATTCTACTGGGCTCTGTCAAATTTTATTTTTATTTTATTTTTGGGGGGGATTTTTGAGATTTTCCCAAACCCAATCATTGGCCCAAATTTGACTGACATGGTCCCTTGTATGTTCCTGAGGGCGTGGATTTCTCAGCCCAAAACACAGTCAGCACTGGAATGGCTGGAACACGGAACAATAGTGGTAGTCATTGCTTTCCTAAACATTCCTCTAAAGAGCAAAGGGGCTATAGAGACTCCCCCCACCCCCAGCCCCTGCAACCACACACACACACACACACTCGCACTCTCTCTCATATGCACACACACCCCTTTGAAGCAGCTTTGAGGAAAGCTGGCCTTGTGGTTAATGAACTGGGCTGGGATCTGAGCTCGGGCTTCAGTTCTTGTCTCATTTCTCCCCCTGTAGGGAGGGGATGCTCGTTCTCTCTCACGGGGAAGATGAGGATCAATGCTGAGCACCTTCTAAACATTTGTGATACTATGGTGAATTTAGCCTCAGGAGTAGCGTGAACGTGGCCGTCCCCGCTGCAGTCTAGTGCGCCAGGCGCCTGTGTTGGGAGGCCAGCTGGGGAACCCCCACCGAGAAGCTGTATTGCTGACAGGATTGTTCCACTCTAACAAGGTGCAGTGGCCCATGTTGTCCGGACGACACTCGCTAGCCTGTGACTGAATTAAATCCTCTGCCCCCAGTTCTTTGAGTGTGCACCTAGGACCTGCCCCAGCTAGCAGCCCTGGACATACAGGGTTATCCCTGTCGGAAGCAGTTAATCTGTGGACTTGGCTTTCTCTTTGAACATTCGTTTCTGCAGGTTTATAGCCAGCACCTCCAGTATGCAGCCTTTGGATTAGACGAAGCCTGAAGTAGCCGTTTGTGTTAGTGCGGAAGCTTGTGCAGAAGCACATTTACTCTAGCTTTGTTTTTGTGTTTCAGGTGGTGGCAATCCACTTGATTTTTGGATGGCTGGTAAACACAATCAGCCAAATCATGGCTGGTAGAAGCAGCTATTTCTTGGAGCTGTAGATCTATTTGTTGTTAAGATATATGGTAGCACTATATTTTTGTAGTGTGTCAATTTAAAAGGCAAATTTTCCAAGCAGAACAGCGGGCATTCTGGAGGCATTATCCACCTGTTACTTGCTGCTGATGGACTCGCACATCATAAAACCTCACTCAACACTTCCCCCGCCCTCCCTGTTACCATTCGGAAACCGCGTGGAGTTTGACACACTAAGATCAGACCTTGGTCTCCACTGAGTAACTTGCATTACTGCATAGGCATACCATCAAATAGTACAGAATAGATATTATGGCATCTGGTCATAAAGTCCTACATAAGCAAGAGCTGAGGTGCTTTGTTCCCACCTACCATAGCTTCCTAATCAAAAAATCCACTAGAACCATTTGTTCTTTCGCTACATGAGCGTCTTCTGAGAAGATTGCTGCATTTCATAGAATCATAGAAGATTAGGGTTGGAAGAGACCTCAGGAGGTCATCTAGTCCAACCCCCAGTTCAAAGCAGGACCAACCTGTGATGGAGTAGGGAGTGGGGCGGATTGACCTGGGAATGTTGCATGGGAGTTTTATTGAGACTGTCTACATTGGTGATGGGAAACCAGGGTGAGGATATCTGAGCATGTAACCTCTGAGCCCAGGAGGGGGGTTTGGGGCCAGGTCACACCTTTTGCCTGGGAAACTGGACAAAGGCTGGGGGAGGAGCCGGGGGCGGTGGCTGGAGGAGACTGCTGGAGGGGTTTTAGTTTTGAGCTGGCTGGGGAAACAGAGGGAACCCCAAAGCTGAGGGATAAGCTCCTTACCCCCCTGGGGACTTGAGTGAGGGGTCCTGGTTGTACCTACAAGCTCTGTTTGGGACTGTGTTCCTGTTGTCTAATAAACCTTCTGCTTTACTGGCTGAGAGTCACGGTGAATCGCAGGAAGTGGGGTTGCAGGGCCCTGACTCTCCCACACACTGTGACACAACCCCAACTAAATCATCTCAGCCTGGACTTTGTCAAGCTGGGCCTTAATAACCTCTAAGGATGGAGATTCCACCACCTCCCTAGGGAACCCATTCCAGTGCTTCACCACCCTCCTAGGGAAATAGTTTTTCCTAATCTCCAACCTAGACCTCCCCCACTGCAACTTGAGACCATTGCTCCTTGTTTTGTCATCTGCCACCACTGAGAACAGCCTAGTTCCATCCTCTTTGGAACTCCCCTGCAGGTATTTGAAGGCTGCGATCAAATCCCCCCTCATTCTTCTCTTTTTTCCATAGGAGAGGAAGTGATCCCTGTGGAACTTACAAAGCACTCTGGAATGAATGGTGATAGATAAAATAGGAGAGCAAACGTGCACTCTAAAGCATGGTCAGACATGGAATCCTATTAGCAGCTGAAGGTTGGACTGTACCACTGGGATGCTAATTTTCTTGAACTTGCAATAAGGTTTCATCTTTGAGTTGTTTTCACGAGGTCTCCATTCAAGTGATGTTTGTTGTTTGTATTACACTAGCCCCCAAAAGCCCCAGTCGGGATTGAGGGCCCATTGTGCTGCTGGCCTTACAAACACACACTCTAAAATAGTCCCTGCTCTGAAGAGGTTAGACATGGAGCTCAGTTTGGATCATGTTAGTTGAAGTTGATGGTAAGTTACCCAATGTGGTATATCAGAGAGACATGCCTAGATGGAGGGAGATAGGTCAGAAGTGGAGAGGTAGATCAATGAGTCTTCAGCACAGCTATGTGAGTAGATGCAACCCTTAAGAGTTTAAGGTAAAAGGGGAAGGGGAGGGTGCCAGGAAAACATTTTTAGTGACTTGCTTTAATTTTCTTTCTTTACCAAGATAAATCCAGTTTTCCTGTACCTTGTATCCTCCTCCACCTGAACTGAATCTCTCCCCCAGAGAGCCTGGGCTCCCCAGGTCATTGTAATGACGGTTACAATTGTAAAACTCAAAGCTAAGAAAAACAGAAAATGTTCTCAAAGACTGACCTCTTGCCTGCACTGTACATACAGGACCCAATTTTGCCCACTTACCTCTGTGCACCTCACATCAAAACCAAACTGGAATAGTACAGCCAGAGTGCAGATGCTGGCTCTGGGTAGGTTAAGGTGTAAATTTCTCAGCATAACTAAATCCGAATACTCCATATGTCCAGCCTGGGGGGAGCCAAGGTTACCATGGAAACCTTAATTTCAGTGCCTGACTTCTGACTTGATGTGATCATGTTGACAAGATTTTTGCATTTAACTCTGTTGAGAGGAGATTAAAACCTTAATCTCTGCTGATTTCACAGGGTCTTTCCACACGCACGGCCATCACTGCATTCTTCCACAGTCCCAGGGAGAGCATTGTAACTGAGTCAGGCTGACCACAGGCCAAATCCTTTTCTCAGTTGTATAGAACAGTCTCTAATTCTGTCCATACACTCACATTCCTACACCCCCTTTGAGCCTTCAAGCTGTCTTTGTTTAAGGTG